TATTCAAGTTATTCTAATGCCAATACAAAGTTAACAAGAATGTACCTGTAATTTCTGTATAGTTACTAAAGAATTAAAGAATAGAACTCTAGACAATAAAGGAGTAGATGTTTATGTTATCAATGCGATAAAAACGATCTAGGGTTATAGGTTATCTAACAATCTTGGTGTCTTCTCCAATGGATTCAACTTCTTAATTTTTCTATCACAAGGTTAATTTTACCCGTAAGAATCCTACTCACCTATTCAAGTTATTCTAATGCCAATACAAAGTTAACAAGAATGTCCTGTTAATTTCTGTATAGTTACTNTTAGCCAAAATGGTCTGGACAGGAGGCTCAGCCGAGTAATCCAGCCGTGGAAATATGGTCTCAGCGCAATATCTTGGCACAGAAAACCCCCCACCATTGTTAGCATCAGACTGTGTCAATGTCTTAGCAAATGAATTAGGTTTCTCTTGATTCTCATTCTTATCAAGCCCTAGAAATCCAGCATCATCTTCAACATCACATTCGTTGCCTTTTAATGGAACTAATCTTATCTTGGCATAGACCTCATCAGTCTCAGTATCAGCCAAGTACCTAATGGATGAAACTCTACAAAGAGTAAGTGGTGGAATTTTAGGGAAACCCCCAAAATCAACATTCTTGTGGGCATGTTCAGCATGTCCCTGAGGAAAGTAAAAGGCTTTTGAGTTCAGTGGTGGCATTTGGACCATACCACCAGCACAGGCATGCCATAACTGAGGATCCAATCCTTTCTCCACTTCATTCATAGGTTTGTTCACTGGATTCATAATATTAATCATTCTCCCTTATTCTTAACCTCCAAACACATAAAAATGTAAACTTTTTCCCGAATCTCGTTCTGTAACCACAAAAAAGGTTCCAGGTATCAGAGTTTTGAAACAAGGAAAGAGGGGGAGAGAAACAGAAGAAAAATGATACAATTCTTTAGGATTTGTTCAATTTAGACTAGTGAAAACCCAGAATTTAAAAGAAGGAAAAATTTACATAGAGACTCTTGAAATGTCTTGGTTAGTTGTTCCTGAGAAACCCCATTACTTTTCAGAAAATGAAAAAGAGGAAAAGAATGATAAGAGAGAAGGTAGAAGATAAGTTTACCTTCAAAATAAAGGTTTTGACATGAAAATACAAAGCCGAGCTTCCATTTCTCAGATCAATGCAATATTGAAGAGAATGAACGAATAGGAGGGTTGCTTAGAATTTAGACAACATAAATAACAGTAAAAAGAGAGAGAGAGAGAGAGAGAGAGAGAGAGAGAGAGAGAGAGAGAGAGAGAAAGAGGGGTGGGTGGAGTGGGGGTAGGGGTTAGAGAGTGGCTAGAGAGAACAGAGTGTGTTGATGGGGACAGACAGAGACAAGAGACACACAAACCACATACACTCAACAGTCACCTGAAGCTTCGTTGCCGACCAGAGAGAGGGTGGCAGGCTGATTGCTTATGAAATTGGCACTATCACACTTCTTTATACTCTTTATATACTTGTGTTCCTGCTACTATTACAGTAGTATATTGTGTTTTACTTTTTCTCTGAAATAAAAAAAGGCTCTCATCAGAATTCTTTTTTCTTTTTCCTTTTTCGTTTGCTCTCGAAACGTCACCGTGGAAGGAGGGGGGGGGAGGGGGGGGGGGGGGGGGGGGCGGGAATTTGAGATTTGGAAAGGGAGATTTGCGGAAGCTGTTTCAATGGTTATGACTTATGACTTGCAAGATTCCAAGTAAACCTTACGAGTAAATTCGCACTTTTATGTTTAATAGCGGATCTCATTCTTCTATAGGGTTTTCATATTCTATAATTCTATCCTACTCCATGATTCGTGTATCCACACGCGCTGGACTTCTTTAATTGTTAGCAAAATTAATAAGACAATCAATTATATTTTTTTTTAAACCTTTTTTTTCTTTTGAGGATCCTTTCATTATTCAAGATTATTATCAACAACGAACAAAGTGTATTTCTATAAATGGGATATGGGAAGGACAGTGTATATGGAGACTTTATCCCTACCTCATAAAGATAGGGAGTTGTTTCCGACTATTCAAGATTATTATTATTTACACAAAATGAGTAACAATTAAATTTATACGCGGTTTAAAGGATACGTGGTTTAATTTAACACGAACAATTAAGAATAAAAGTTAGACGAATTAAAGACGAAATAAATGATCAAACCACTCGCAATGTAATTGACCAAGCCTGATCTCAGATTGGACAATGGGACTCGTCCTCGATTGGACACTCGGTACAAGTTTGGTCGTGAGTTGATAAAAGAACAAGCAAATAATGCCTTGAACAGTAGCTAGAAGACGAAAGTTAACTTTTATTGCTTTGAATTGCATGTTACAATGTGTCAGACTAAAGAAAAACTTCATCTTTATATAGTAGGAGATTTCAATCCTATTACAAGTCCTAAAAAGGTAAAAATCTTGTTTTCCGGTAATTGTTGATCGATAATGAACACCGAACGAGATTCGCGCCATAAAATCCAATTGAAGGCGAACATTTTGGCCCCCTATCCGTCATTCATAATCGTCCACCGTATCTCCTAAGGTACAGAAGCCATACTTGGTCCGTGGCACGTCGCCTTATCGTGTTCGATCTCTAATACATCGTTCATTCTTCCCGGGTCTCGATATGAGGGGTTCCCGACCTCAATAATAATTTCGTCGATCCGTACTTCCACTTCATTCCCTCACCGGGGAATTAGGGGAAACTTTGCCCCTGATTATATCCGTACATAATTATACATGTAGACCGTAGTAGCAACATTGAGTAATCCCCCTTTTCAACACTAATATCCTATGGTTTACTTAGTGTGCCAATAGCTCTGTGATGCCTCGTTCTACAACCAAATTCATTTTTTGGCACTAATTGAATTACTTAGAACCCTAAGAAAAGATCGATTATCTCTCGCTTTACTTTATCGGCATAACATTTCTTGCTAGATTAGAGTGGGAGTGACTTCTTACCATGACTAAGATGCTTCGTTTGTGAATTTGCAACATCCAGAAAAAAGTCATCTCTCTTCCATTCGGAACAAGCATCATAATTGTACCACTATAAAATATTCCATAATGAGTTTGATTCTCTGTGCTAAGTTCCAATTTAGGTGGCGGTATTTAAATTGGTACAGAGTTTAAAAAAGATAAAAAAAAAATTAAAAAATAATGGTATTAAACCTATCAAGATTTTAGGATAATACAAAAATTTAAAGTTAATTTATTTTTAAATATAAAAATAAGTCATTCCTTAATAGACTAATATCAGAATAATGTCTTATAAAATAGAAAAAGAAAGTAACAAATACTTTATTTTAGTACTATCAATTTGATGTGTATCCACTTTTCCCTTATTGAAATAGTAAATATTGCAGCCAAATCCATAAATAAGTATACGCGATCGACAAGTAATAAAGTAGTGAGAAGAGTATCATTCCTACAAGAAGTTATTATTAACTATTAACTATATTAAACTATCATAATTCTCTAAATAAGAATTAAAACCAAAAATATTTGAGTCTAAACTAATTGAAATGGAAAGAAATTAAAAAAATGAACTTAAGACAATAAAGGAGTAGATGTTTATGTTATCAATGCGATAAAAACGATCTAGGGTTATAGGTTATCTAACAATCTTGGTGTCTTCTTCAATGGATTCAACTTCTTAATTTTTCTATCACAAGGTTAATTTTACCCGTAGGAATCCTACTCACCTATTCAAGTTATTCTAATGCCAATACAAAGTTAACAAGAATGTCCTGTAATTTCTGTATAGTTACTAAAGAAATTAAAGAATGAACTCTAGACAATAAAGGAGTAGATGTTTATGTTATCAATGCGATAAAAACGATCTAGGGTTATAGGTTATCTAACAATCTTGGTGTCTTCTTCAATGGATTCAACTTCTTAATTTTTCTATCACAAGGTTAATTTTACCCGTAGGAATCCTACTCACCTATTCAAGTTATTCTAATGCCAATACAAAGTTAACAAGAACGTCTTGTAATTTTTGTATAGTTACTAAGACTGTTAGGTATATCCTATCCTAACTGCGAAGTTATTTCCTAAGGCCCTAGTTCTGAAACTTGCTCTACTCTTCCAAGATTAAATAAATAGACCAATGCAATAAATCAACAAATTGAAATCAAAATCCAAATAATAACATTAATGAAAGAATCAAAACTGTAGAACATGAAGTTTAGCCTCACATAAACATGATAATCAAATGATATCCAAAGAAATTTAAAAATCGCTAGTTTGGCCGAAGAATAGATAAACTTAAGCTCCACCGCTATTCTTTGTCTCCTAAATAGTGTATCCCCAGGCTTTGTGGTGTTTATATAAGACTCGTGGTATGTGTGAGGCTACTTTAATCAATCTCAAGTTGGCTAAAAAAACTTGCAGTGCAGGTCTTAGGCGTTCGTGAGGCGAGTCCTGGAAAACGTCCACCTCCAGGTTTCCAAACGCATACCTTGCGATTGCTATCGCCTTAACCTCACTTTACTATTTTGCACAACTGACGAACCCTCTTAGAGGCCAGCTTGCTCGCGACGCGAGCGAGGCAGACGTCCCCTTCTCATCTTCAGTTTCTCTTGTGCCTTAAACTCTAAATTGTGTCGAATCATCCCTTTTATCTCGCGTTCATATAAAAACCATTCCTATATATAGAAAACACTCAATTAGCACAAAATACGCCAATAATAATTTAAAATATACTGTAGTAAATATTCTCAAGATATGATGCGATAATATACTAAATATATAAACTTTTAGCCAAATATATATTACCATCCACACTTAGACTCTTGTTCGGCCTCAAGCAACTCAAAACTCAAAATCATGGCAAGGAAAAAGCTTCAAAAATATTCTCAAACATCACAACTAATGATAATGGCTTATATCTACACTTAGAACTCATCATATATATTATTGATGTCCTTCCTCAAGTTTTAACATGTCAAGACTATTTAAAACATTCTAGTGATCTCCTCTAATATCCTAACCGCAAAAATTGACTCCAAAATACTCCATTCTACGGCTTACTCACTTATGCCAACTCAAGAACCATGTACCCGTCGATCCTTTACAAATCATGTGCCCTCACTAATAATCAAGAAAGAAGCTAGTTCACACATTCAAATAAGATATCAAATGTAACTTAAGGACTCAAGTATTGAAGCAAATCACTCTCTCTCAAGGGCGACCCTTCCATAAAGCAAGTAAAGCAAGTAAAGCAATTGTTTTAGGCCCCACGTGTATCGAGGCCTCATTTTTTGTTACACCTAATAGGCTATGTATAAGTTTAAAAAAAGGTTATATGAAGTGAAAATATTTGATTTCTTTCTTTAACAAGTATAGAGAAGAAGTATTTGCAACTGCTATGATTTCTGCCAAGAAAATTGCACTTGAAATGAATATCGAACCCGAATTTCGTAAGAAACGTATGATATATAGGAAATAACAATTTGATGAGAATATTGATAATAAAATCTCAAAATCTTTCGGAGAGTCTTTTGGAGTTGATTACTTTATACATAGTAGACAGTGCTATTTTTTTCACTTCAAAATAGATTTGAACAATTCGAAGCAAATAAAAATATTTTTGATTTTCTAATTAGCGGTAAAAATTAGGATCGATGGATGATGAAAATTTAAAAAAATATTGCTTTAATCTTGAATTCTCTTTAAAGCATAAGAATCCATTCGATATTTATGGTTTAGATTTATTTTGGAATTAAAATATTAAGAGAAATAGTACAATTAGAAGATAAATGCTTAATTGATACACTCGATCAAACAAAAGAAATTGATTCTTTTTCCAATGCCTATCTTATTTATGGAATAATGTTAATAACTCTTGTCTCTGTCGTTTCAGCGGAAAGAAATTTTCAACATTAAATTGGTAAAATCTCACCTAAGATCAACAATGTCTCAATAAAGATTAAATGGATTAGCTATATTGTCAATTAAGAAAGACTTATCAAGGGTTATTGATTTTAAAAAAAATATTAATAATGTATCCAAGAAACGCTAGAAAAATAGACTTTAAATAAATAAATATTTTTTTTTTAAAAAAAAATTTAAGGCCCCCTTATAAAGATTGGCTTTAGGCCATAAAACTCGTCGGGCCGCCCCGGCCCCCTGCTCTCTCTTACACACAAATATTCTCAAAATACACTAAATATATGAACAATTACAAATATATGAGTAAAAAATTAAATTTTGGACACAATTACTAGTACTGAAAGATTATTAGGATTCGACTTCTTAAATTTGGTACAAATAGGTGAATATTCTCGTTAGACATCGCCAAGAAAGCGAGTGGAGTTGTCTCCTTAAAATAAAAAGGTTTCATGAACAATTACAGCATCAAATTCATGTTATTTAATAGCAAAAGACAGAGAATTAATTGAGCACTAATTTTTACTATTCCATAATCAGTAAAATTAATGCTCATTAATTAACTAACTAGCATGGTACTAAAGCCATTAAAGTCACCTCGGTTAAAATCGCCTTCTTTGTTTTATCCGAAGGCAAAACTCTAGTAGTAGTAACCAA